TATGCACCAAGAGCTTGTAACACTCCAAAGAGAAAGGAACAATTGAAATCGCATCATATGACCCCTTTAATATCAGTGTTGAAAAAAAGTTGTGCTATTTTATTTAAGATTTTTTGATGAACACAAGTTCAAAAGAACAACATTTATTTGAAATAGAAATCATTATAAATGTCTCTACTGTGTAATTATTCTGTGGACAAACAATGTGTGTGTGGTTATATTTTTTCTATTGACTATTATCAAAATTACTACTTCTAGAAACAACAGAAATAATAATAATAATAGTAATTATAAAACAACTAGGTTTCCAAATTCAATTTGTTTACGAATTCAAGTAAAATTTTCAGTCATCTTATAAAAAGTGAGCCATCCTACTTTTAAAATCACTTGCTATAACAACTAATAAAAAGTTTAGTATCACAAAATTCTTGCAAAACTTTAAAAAACATTATTGAAAGAAAAATGGGACGTTTCATATCATAATAAAATAAATTATTACACGATTATGGTCTCCGACACAGACAAAACAGTCGGAGATGCGTTTATGCATTTTTTATATACAGTATATATATTTTACGCATTAGTAGTAAATCAAGACTTCGCAAGTTCTCTTGTAAAATAAAATAATAATAAAAAAAACATGGTAAAACAATAAAAAACAATAAACTGTGTACAGAAAGCGAGGGTAAAGCTAAAATAGCAAGGCTAAAAAGGTCAGTTTAATCTCACAAAAACTCCCGTTAATAAAAAACTGACTACACTGCACAATTAATCTCTTACACTGCATCTTTGTTGTTTATGATGAATCCGGTGCTTGCACGTACACCGCTTTTATTATTATTGCAGCTTAGATGTTCAAATAGCTGCAGTACTCCGACTTTGCCACAAGGAAAAGTTTGTACGTCTGCTCAGACCCTGATGTGGCGGTAAGTACTTTTCCACGTCAAAGACCGTTTTTATAAATATGAACGCTGCCGTGGTTTTTAGCGTACGCATAGATAAAATGTGCGTACGCACAGATTTGATCTTAGAGTACATCAAATCTGTGCGTAAGCACATTTTATAAATGAGGCCCCAGGAGTCTGATTATTATTAGTAGTAGCAGCAGCAGCAGCACTAGTAGTAGTAGTAAAAAAAAGGAGAATGAAAGAAAAGAAAAAATACTTTTACTTTAAGACTATTTCACTGTAAAATAAATAAATACAATAAAAATATTAAATAAATAAATAAATAAATAAAAATACTAAAAACTGTACACCTGTAAAATTACAATAATAATATTTGTGACCCTGGACCAAAAAAAAAAAACAGTTGTAAGTAGCACAGGAATATTTGTAGCAATAGCGAACAATACATTGTATGGGTCAAAATTGTCGGTTTTTCTTTTATGCCAAAAATCATTAGGATATTAAGTGAAGATCATGTTCCATGAAAATATTTTGTAAATTTCCCACCATAAATATATCAAAACCTAATTTTTGATTCGTAATATGCATTCCTAAGAACTTAATTTGGACAACTAAAAAGTCAATTTTCTCAATATTTTGACTTTTTTGCTCCCTCAGATTCCAGATTTTTAAATAGTTGTATCTCAGACAAATATTGTCGTATCCTAACAAACCATACATCAATGGAAAGCTTATTTATTCAGCTTTCAGCGTTTGACCCTTATGACTGGTTTTGTGGTCCAGGGTCACATTTGTTTCTTTATATCATCATTTTAAACCAATATACATATAAGCTTTTATTTTGGTGGAAAACCTCAGGGTTAAAGCTTCTCCTTTGTTGGCAACATGCTTCTTATTAAAAATCTAGTGAAATGTTTGGCATGTTGCATTTTCAAGCAACCCAAACTAACTGCACTTGCAGAGATGGAGATCGTGTGAAGCAGCATTGACTGCAAACCAAGTTGCACCGAGACACTGAAAACACTGTTATCCTGAGCAGCTTTCCTATAAATGAACACAGTGCCGTGCTTCACTCTAAAGCACACGGCACATATACTTATTTAAAAATAAATCGCAGACTTCATCATTTGATAATCACACTAAGCCATTTTGATCAAATGTTCAGCCCTAATATTTCACTTCTCCTCTTCTCTTGAGAACAGTAATGATGTGTCTGATCCACTGGCACTAATTGACTCCAGTTTAGCAGTGATCCGCTCGTGCATTCCACCCTCACCAGACCTGGACAATTTCAGCAAGTTCTGACTTAGACATCTTTAAAAATACAACACAAATGCTATTACAAACCACACTGCTTTAGTAATAGTTAACAAGCTTGTATAATCTGATGTGTTTGATTTCATGTTCATGATAGATCCTTAGTCCTGGCTGCCACATCTCTGCTGTTAAAGACTCTGACACAAAAACCGAGAGCAAACCGAGAAGCCAGAATGAAGCCGATGCGCTACCTCACGCCGACATGGGTACACACATATATGCCCACGCTTCCCTCTCACACACCATCTCGAACCCACACATGTATCACCTGCACAAACCACATGAATTCAGAACTTACACTTCTGGTTTGTTCCTTTTATTGTGTTTGTGCAGTTACACAACAGCAGAGCCTGCAACAAAATGCAGACCCGGAGCAGGAGTGCTACGATAGTGGAGAGTATTCAGATATCTTACCATCCCTTCTGCAACTGGCACAGGAAGCATCTAGCCTCTCCTTCAGTAACACTACACTGCCTTTAGAGCTCTCTTTTGTCATTTAAAACTCTAATGCATTTGATATTGTGCTGTGGTGGTTGATAGTAAAACGTGGTATCTGAAACAGCCAATAGTTGATAGTTCTGCCGTTTAATGAAAGGCTCAGTATCATTATGCGGCAAGTTGATATATGTCAATTGTAAATGATGTAAATCATGTACATTTTCTGTCGTGATTTTTATCCATCAGTGAACTCTAACCTCTCTTGTTGACTCGAGAGTGATTTCACAACAAGCTTTTAGTCTATCAGCACAATTTACCATGTAGGGTAACGCAATAGACCAAAATGACGGAAAGCACTTTGAATCATCTGTCAGTGTTTTTTTTTTTTTTAATTCAGTAAATGACGGAAACGTTTCCATTAATGCAGCCTCTGCAGTGGGTGCAGTTTTAAAGTCAACATTTTTGTGTGGGAGGCTTGCCAAGATTGTTTTATTTTAAAGGTTTTATTTTGCAGAACATCTGCTGCATACTCAGCCACCAAATGTCTAAATAAGTAATAAGTAATATACTAATAATAGAACTAATGTGGCCATTAAAGTTACTTAAGAGCATGATATACTATTGACACACAATGTATATATATATATATATATATATATAGTGCTGCTTAAAAGTTTGTGAACCCTTTACAATTTTCTATATTTCTGCATAAATATGACCCAAAACATCATCAGATGTTCACACAAGTCCTGAAAGTAGACAAAGAGAACCCAATCAAACAAATGAGACAAAAATATTTTCTTTGTCATTTATCTATTGAGAAAAATTGTACATTTGGTACAGTGTTACATTTCTGTGCGGTGCAAAAGTATGTGAATCTCTATGATTAGCTGTTAATTTGAAGGGGAGATTAGAGTCCATCTGTTCAGAGGTCTTTTTAATCAGTGAGATGACTATCAGGTGTCAGTGTGTGCCCTG